CACCGGTTTTACCGAGGATTCGAATTATTTTCACTTCATTACGACTAAATCCCTGGTCAACGGATTTCTATTCTCACCGCACATTCAAGCGGTCGCTCAATGAGTTACATGCCGAATGTCAGCATGTCACGGTCTCATAAAACAGCAGGGTTAGGGAATTCCTGGTTACAGTTTTCTCTTTCCGCAAATGGGGTCAGCATTTACCCGAGGGCAATCTTACGGTTGCCATTTTCGCACACATCATATCTGCCACCCGACTGGTTCGAGTGGCCACCCTCTGGAACACACCACATGTCCGTTTGAAAACGCCACAAAGTCATCATCTCTGCAGTCCCCCCTGTTCAAACCGGGGTCGGCTGCTGAACCGGGGGGGAGGCTGAATCCGAATCATTTTACTCAAGGGGGAACTTCAATTGTTCGTGACATCATTGCATGCCTGCGTGCACAGTGGCCACCTGACTTTGCTTGGCATTTGAATTTCCAGTCTTCATTACATCATCCTCAAAGTCGGTGTGCAACCTGTTTATCCTATCCTAACACAGTGTTCCACTCTTGCCTCTCTTCAACCCTGTCGATATTATTGGCTCTCTTTTTTTCACCCTCTATTCCTCACTCGTTTCATTTTGGCGTTTTTTTTTGTTTTGTTTTGTTTTGTTTTGATGGTGGCTCAGTGAACACGTTTCACTTGTACTTTTTCTTCCTTTTTTTGTTGTCTTTCGATGCATAGCACCTTGGGCGTTTCGGGGACTGGGACTAGACTCGATTTGATTGAATGGCTCTGCTGGAGCATTGAAATGTTTCTTCGTCATGAGCATTGCATGGTGACGGTCATCGCCACAACAGAACGGCGTGGGAAGTGGAAAGCATCTTAGGGGTCTTTTGGAGCAGTCCATTCATCTTCTTCTCTTTCCTCACATGCCTTCTCGATATTCGGGAGGCTCTCTGTACATCTGCATATCCATTGTTTTTTTTTTCCTCTACTTTCTTCTGCTGTCTCCACTGGACTGACTCGCGTCTCCACGTGGGGAGACAAAAGATGCCGCTTTTCATCATTGTTATCATTGTGGCTCTATTTCTGCTTCTTGCTTCTTGCGCTTGACATACCCAGGAGCGTGCATGTCTCAGGTCCTCCATTTTCCCTTTATTGTCCTCATACCCCTTTTTTATCGAGCCCACGTGGCTGGTAGCATTGTGGTTTCGACCATAGCAATGGAAAATTATTTCAATTGAGTCTTGTCTTTTGTAGATCTGTATAAAACCCATCAAAATTTCCATGTTTGCTATACCAGGAGATTAGACATCGAAGAAGCGATGCTCATCAAAACACCATCCAATCTTAGACTATTGAGCCATTTGCAAGGAACAAATGAACAAACAGTATTGCATGCATACTAATCGAAGAAAGCGACGATCAATCGAGATGTGACATCGGCAGGCGCACATAAGCTCGATAGTGTCTTAACTAATACAGCCACTGATATCATTGCGGCTTCGTCTGCAGTACGCGGGCGTATGCATCTCCGCACACCCTAGTCAGATATATAGTACCCATTCCATTCTCCGAATCAAGACTAGTTTGTATTGACCGTCTGGTAATTCTTTTGGTTTACATACCTAGTCTGTCAATTCTTGTGGGGATGGTTTATATGGATGTATCTTATACTGACCTTGCTGTATATATTGAATTATATGATACATACTCTCTCACTTGGATGCTAACTGGGCATGGGTCTATATTTCAGACCATTGTGAAGTCCTCGCCTAGGCCAATAAATTATATTTATATTTACGTATATATATATGTTGTTGGTTGTTCGTAGTAAATGATTAGATCGGTGTCCTTGATATGCTGATCAGTGGCCATGCTACTAACGGACAGGGAATGAAGATATTGTGGGCAAGGGAGTATGTTAACCCAGCGACAGGATGAACTTATTATATGTATGCTAGCTTCTGCCCGGCCTAGTTTACTTGGACGGGCAGCGCGCCATGTACCCTGCGACATCTAGGGCAATAAACATAGACTCATACACACATAGTCATCTATGCTCTAGCTACAATGATTCGCAAAGAATTACCGGAACAGTGTACGAGAGATTATCTTCGAAACCACATCTAGTGAGAATCAGAACGCCACATGGCACATATACGGGGGAAGTGATCAATGGGAAAGGTGAAAAGCCATGTTAGGGATCAGCAGGGATACCCTTGTTGAAGTCCTGATAAGGAACTGATTTGAGAAAATTCTGTGTATGTGTGTTGGGCTGGGAGAGTGCGCGCAAGGGGACTCTTTGGGTAGTTAAGAGGCAAAGTAGACAAAATAACAAGGAGAATGAAAAAAACGAAAAGAGACAGGATGGATATCCCCCAGGGCAGAGAACAAGCGCCGGGCCAAAGCAGAAGGCAAGTAGGCAAATAGAAAAGATTCAAGGCAAAAATGGCAGAGCATCGACGCCCAAAGACTGGAGTATTTCTCACACCAAACCCTTGCGAGTCTCTGCGATACTATAGACCGACAATCGGGCCAATGCATCTCATCGTCCTTTTCTCCTTCGCGTCAAATCTATGTCCTTGCACTAGAAGACCCGTCGCGCACTCTTTCTCTCGGTTGTGCCATCCGTCCCGAGGACGTGTGTCCATCAACAAGGTCTTTTTAGATGTTAATCATTTACTCGGCGGCGGGCTTCTCGGCCTCAGCGGCCGGGGCCTCCTCCTTCTTCTCAGCAGGGGCAGCCTCGGAAGTGGGCTCAGCCTCGGACGAGGTCCAGAGGGTCTGGTGGGAAATGCGGGTCAGCGTATGAACAAATTGAATCACCAGATGATTTAAAAAAACTTACGAGGTTGTCACGGAGGAGCTGCATGATGAGAGTAGAGTCCTTGTAGCTCTCCTCGCTCAGGGTGTCGAGCTCTGCAGACAAAAATATTAGCTTTAGCCCATGGAAGTGGCAAAATATGCAGTTTCACATACCAGCAATAGCATCATCAAAGGCAAGCTTGGCGAGGTGGCAAGCCTGATCAGGGGAGTTCAGGATTTCGTAGTAGAAGACGGAGAAGTTGAGGGCGAGTCCGAGACGAATGGGGTGGGTAGGGGCAAGGTCAGTGGAGGCGATCTCGGTGGCAGCCTTGTAGGCCTCCAGAGAGTGGTCGGCAGCACCCTTGCGGCGGTCGCCAATGGCGAACTCGGCAAGGTAGCGGTGGTAGTCACCCTTCATCTTGTGGTAGAAGACCTTGGACTCGCCGCTCTGGGCAGACTTGATAAGGTGCTCGTCGAGAACCTCGAGGATATCGTCGCAGATCTTGGCAAGCTCGGCCTCGATCTTCTGGCGGTACTCCTTGATGAGAGTGACCTGGGACTCGTTGCCCTTGGACTCCTCCTTCTGCTCAATAGAGGTGACGATTCTCCACGAGGCACGGCGGGCACCGATGACGTTCTTATAGGCGACAGACAGGAGATTACGCTCCTCAACGGTGAGCTCAACATCGGCCGAGGCGACGACCTTCATGTTCTCAACCATCTCTGTGTCGCATTGTCAGAGATCTGTGCAACTAAACGATCTAGATTTAAGAGGAACCAACCTTCATAGCGCTCGGCCTGCTCAGCGAGCTTGGCGAGGTAAACAGCGTCTTCGTGACCCATGGTGAATGTGTGTTTTCTACAGTCAGAACTAAGTTAGCCAAATTTTTTTTCTTCCCTCACAAGAGTTTTGATTCTCGGATTGATGGTGTTTTGGGATGAGGGCTGGAAATCACGCCATCGGAACAGTGCAAGTAGGCGATGGCGAGGGGTAGATATCAATCCTCGATCACCCCCCTTCAAATATACGGGGAAGGGCCCAGTTAATTTTCCATGAGTATCACGTAGAAGATCTCTGAATCAAGATATTTGGACCAAAGACTAAAGACCCCAGAGATTTGGTCGATCATGACGATCGTGGCGGTTACAGGGCCCTTGGTCTTCCCGTATGTCGTTGGGGGGTATCGCAAGAAAGCGGTCGCGGCAACGGTTTAACGAGTAAACAAGGAGACGAGAACATTTGGTTTCCACCGCAAATTGTGGCGCGATTCCATGGTTTGAATTTTGGGGGAGGGGATTGTAGTTTTCAGATGGTCTCTTTCCACCATGAATGTTGATATGTGTGGGTTTTGCGTTGATGACGGGGGATGGGCATAGAAATGGGGCGAGGAGAGGGCAAATTCAACTCGGAAAACAACAGGAGGACACTGACCTGGTTTATGAAAGAGGAAAAGAAGGTGATTAAGGAATAGCGAGATGGATGAAAGATGGAAGTGAAAGAGTAGGGAGTTGAGAGAGAGGAGGTAGGAGGAAAGGAGGGGGGCAGAAGGCGGTGTTGTTGGGATTTACCTGAACAACCCACTTCGGGCTTTGTGTTTTTTTGTGAAATATCAAAAAAAAAGGGTACTTGAGGTCACTTGAACTTGTTCTTCTTTTTTAATCTAATTTATTATTTTATATGCCTACAAAATCCTCAAGAACATATTACTTTTTCGCCATATACTATACACAAATCTTCTCTCATCGCTTCTGTGTGGTTCGGTGGGCCTCCTACAGCGTCATCCCCCATTCCGCATCCGCCAATCGCCCGGGGGTTCCTTACTTGCGCCTCATTCGAGATCACAAAAGGCAGACAGGATACGTTCGAAACAGTCTAGAACGAGGTGGGATGAAGTAGGGCTCTCTACTACCAGGCTATCTGTATCGTAAAAAGGTAAAAAAGAGAAATACGAGGGAGAAAAAAAAAAGCGTCAGCTGCAATAAATCAATGATGTGACCACCCCTGTGATCAATGTAGTTGAAGTACTCTACCATATCGTATACAAGGGCCCAAGTGGAAAGTCGAATGAGAAGGCCGCGACTTATCAGAAATTTTTGTTCACATGACCTACGCTCTGACATAAGCTTGCTCCTTCCGAATACCATCACATGATGTTTCTTGGCACGTAACGTCATTTGCTATAAGCTTGCCTTGCTTTAGCCCTGGAGTTCTCCTCGTACTTTGTCAACTTCATCCTGAATTCATCTCACAAATCTCATTTTTAACTCCTCTACCATCCAAATCATCATGCTTCGTCAATTTGTCCGTCCCGCCGCTACTGCCAATCGGGCAGTCTTTACCCGCTCCTTCTCGGTAGCTGTCCCTCGTATGGGCGAAGGTGACACTGGTGCTCCCCGCTCTAGCGGTGGTGCGTCTTCTGGGTAAGTCAGATGCAAGTTGACTGCGAAACTTACACTCCAAGTTCGATTGCAACGAGCAGACAGCCCGATATCTGCCTTGCCGCAGTGAGATGACATCATAGCCGTATGATCACTAACATATGTCCCTTTACTAGTGACGCATTCACCAAGCGCGAGGCTGCCCAAGAGAGCCTTTACATCCGTGAGAAGGAGCTTGAGAAGTAAGTTTTGCAACGCCGAGAACAATCAGGCTGCAGCGGAGGGCTAATTGGTTTGATAGGCTTGCTCAGCTCAAGAAGAAGATTAGCGAGCAGCGCAAGCACTTGGATGAGCTTGAGAACCACATGTAAGTGCAAGTCTGGAAATACTCCCCTATCTATTTCCTCTTTCCATTGTAAATGACATGGCTAACTGGCTTCTTTTTAGTGATGGCTTGAGCCGCTAATGGGCTCCGTACACCCACCTTAAGTTTAATATGAAGAAATCCTCCAATTGCTGTGTATAATACCATCTCCGCTCCAATGAGCTACCGTGCCTACCTGCTGCCTTGAGATCGTGTCGTTTTCAGCGCCTGTTCCTAAACATAACATCGCTCTGCCATAGCATATGGAGTTTTTCCGCTCTTATGTATAGTGCTTAGTAGCTCGCTTGGAAATATCTAGGAAGGCTCGGCACCATCAACTAGTGTTTATCCCTGTAGCCTTAACATACTACCCGTATATTTTCGCGGTTATTGTACGGTGCAAGAGATTTTCTTATTTTTCTAGATAATGTTTATGGTGTTTGGAAAGGCCTCAACTAACCCGAGGAAATTACCTTGTAGTGAATGTTACCAATCGTCTCCACTTAAAACAAAGCGGGATACTAGTCTACGGAGTAGTTACCCGGCCCTGCCAATTAACTCGACGCCCATATATAACAACACCCGCAGGGGGGTTGAGTTACTTGGTAAGGATCAGGTACACTGAGGCTCCTTCCATCTTACCTAGACTAAATTTCCGACAAATACCCCCATGACTCTTTTTATCCTACCAAACGAGCTTCTCCTAGCCATAGCGGAGACCCAAGACTGCCAAAAGGACATAAATGCATTTGCAAGAGCCAGTCGTCGCTGTTATCTTCTCTTGAACCCTTTACTCTATGCATACAACGCCCGACAACACCAAGGGAGCGCACTCCATTGGGCAGCAAACCAGGGACAATTAAGAACAGCCGAAGAATCACTCCGACAAGGAGCAAATATCGAATCGAGGCACAAGAAAACAAGAAAAACGCCATTGATACAGGCCGCTCAATGTGGCCATGCAGATATTGTTGCGATGCTGTTGGCACATGGAGCCAATCCGCACGCCAAAGGCGGCCAGGGGACCAAAGACCCAATCACATCGGCCGTGCTCCGCAACAGAGCAGCCGTCGTTCGAATTTTGCTTGATAACGGCGTTGATGTGAATCTGACGGGCTACAAGGGTAGCCTATTGCATCTTGCGGCTGAAAAATGCCACAACAGCCGCGAGGAAGTGGCGAGAGTTCTTATTGAGAAAGGTGCCAACCTAGAATCTGTGAATGACGTGAACGAAACTCCGTTGCAGGTAGCATGTGAGTCTGGCTCCGTGGGAGTGGCCCGATGTCTAATAGAAAGCGGTGCCAGCTTGGATATCCGGGGTTTACATGGAAGGTCACTTCTGCATCTGGCGTCCTCCATGGATATCAATACTACCAAGTTGCTGGTGGAGAAAGGAGCCGATCTCGAGGTGCGAGACAAGTATGGCGAGACACCACTACATCTGGCATGCTGGTTTGGCCGGGTAGAAACTGCCGCTTTCCTGCTGGATCAGGGTGCAGATATAGAGGCAAGATCGTCAAATGGGAGCACGCCATTGCTGAGGGGGTTACTCTGGGAGTGCAGTGTACGTAGGGACCTGGGGCCGGACTCTGTGACCGCTCTTCTGCTGGAACGAGGCGCCAATCCAGGGCAGGGAAATGACTCCAATATCACACCATTGCATTGTGCGACGTCGAAAGAAGATCTAGGGCTGTTCAAGAGATTCCTACAGTATGGCGCGGACCTGGAGCCTAAAACTAGGCTGGGAGTGACACCGCTGCACAAACTAGCGCGTTCTGGCGCTCTGGAGTCCGCAAGGTATTCGTTGCAAAAAGGCGCTGATGTACAACCAAGAGATGGAGAAGGCAATACGCCATTGCACCTGGCAGCGCAGAAAAACGACGTGGAATTTGTCAGATTGCTGCTAGATGCAGGTGCTGACAGGCTGATCAAGAATCATAAGGGTCAATTGCCTGTACATCTGGCAGCAAAAGGAACAGCTAAATCAGAAGGAGTACAGAAATTCGAAGAAAGACAAAGAAAAGTGGTAGATCTTCTGGAGGCTCAGTCTGAGCATCCACATTAGCAACAGTGACCAGAAGGACATAATGTACAATGAGCATCTGAGAAGAATTTGTCAATCCTATGGCATTGGATTTTACGAAGGTTCAAAGTTGTTAATCACAAAGCGCATGAAAGCATTTTATTGTGACCGACTATTAGCATTCCCTGACTACAACAGAACATTCCCCCAAAGCACATCGAGGTGCCAAGTAGCCGATAACTCCGAGTTCAAATCATTAGAAAAGTGCATCCACCCCTTTACCGTCCTTGCATGAAGGAGCGGTAGAAATCATCAGCGGTGTTGTTGTTGCCCATACCATTGTTAGGATAGCCGTATCCGAGACGGGCAGAGATCGATTGGCCTGCTTTTTGAGCGGCGGCAACCTTGGACTGCAGGTCCGAAGTGCCTTGGTCGATGACCTGTAGCTGGGATAGGTGCGCATTGAGAATGCGGACAATCTGCGAGATCTATAGAGATGTGTGAGCAAAAAGAATCCTCACAAAAAGGGGATCAGTCCTGGGTTGTGACGTACCGGCTCATCTGCTTTGTTGGTCTTGGTCAATGTGGATGAAGCACCGTTGACCTCTTCAATCATGCTGGTGAGATCCTTGCCCATTTCGTCCAAGCGTTCCGAGAGCTTCTCGGCCAGTTTGTAACTAATGGCTATGTTAGCAAACCCATATATCTCAGATATTGTGTTGTAGATTGTACTTACGTTGTCTCGCGCTCCTGGTCAGGTCCTTGAAGGGACTCTCCAGGGCCCACCTGCTTGGTAACCATCTCGTCGACTTCACGCTCGTATCGATCCAACCATGAGCTGAGCTCATCCTGTTGACCTTCAACCGCTGAAAGTTGACGCTCAACCTCCTGGGTAGCTCGATCCGCATCAACAGTGCTGCCGTACAGCTTCTGGACTTTAGTACCATTATCCACCAGCAGACGGTCCCACTCGGAAACCTTCTCCGCCTGCTCGCGGAAGTCCTTTTGATATTTGCCAAGATCTGTGGCCCATCGGGTAATTATCTCATCCATGGTCTTGTTCTTCAGACGTGACTGGGCTGGAGGGGCGGGCCCCGTGGTGGACTGGCCAAGGGCGGAGGGCCCAGCTGCTGGAGCAGCGCTGGTAGCGGTTGTAGTAGTAGCGGCGGTCGTTTTACCACCAAGGCCACCAAGGGGTGCTGAACTGGTAGAGGTCGCTGGCTGAGTCGATGGTGTAGTAGTAGCAGCTTGGCCAAACAGGCCGCCCGTAGGTGCAGCAGCTGTAGTAGTAGCAGGCGCGGCAGTGGCCGCAGTACCTGGAGTAGTGGAGGGAGCTGAGGCCCCAAACAGGCCACCCCCAAGAGGAGCCGTTGCCGGAGTAGTGGAGGGAGCAGCTGTGGATGTGGCAGTTCCGGTGGAGGGGAAAAGAGACTTTTGAGGGGTAGCACTCGACGTGGCAGGAGCTCCCAGTGAGAGAGTTGTGTTTGCGGTGGAGGCAGGAGCGCCTAGGGCCGGGAATGCAGACTTAGGAGCGGAGGCGCCGCCGGGAGCAGCGGTATTGCTGAACAGAGACGGTGTCTGCGAGCTTGGCGCACCAGCCGCGGGTGCAGCTGTGCCGAAGAGTGGCTTGGAAGTGGTGTCTGCAGCAGTCGTAGGAGCGGTTGTCTCGGCTGGCTTGTTTGCACCGAATAGGCCGCCGCTGGGCGCAGCAGCGGTTGCACCTCCTCCAAACAGCGGCTTGGTTGCTCCTCCTCCAAACATATTGTTAGATGGCTGCGCCTGTGAGGTAGCAGGCGTGGTAGATGATGGCGCAGCGGTGGGGGTAGTCGAGACTCCGGGTTTCGCAGCCCCGAATAAGCTGCTGGGTGGGTTGGATGCAGGCGGGGGACCAGCAGGGGTGGTGGAGTTGTTGCCGAACAGATTGCCTCCTGCGGGAGCAGGGGTTGCTGTTGGGGCCGCGTTGCCGAACATACTCTTTGTGCCCGCGCCACCGAACAGCGGGTTGCTGGCAGGTGTGGTCGATTCTGTAGACTTGTTGGGAGTCTGGCTGCCGGCAGCGGCGCCGAAGAGTGAGTTGGGCTGCGTGCCAGTTGCGGATGGAGCCTTGCCGCCGAAGCTGAAGGCCGAGGTAGTGCCGTTGGTCGCATTGGAAGCGCCTGCATTGCCGAAGGTTGGTGTGCTTTGGCCACTTGCGGCATTCCCTCCGAACAACGACGGCGATGCGCTGCTGCCGGTGGCTGAAGCTCCAACATTACCGAAGAGGCCACCACTAGACGCATTGCTATCCTTGTTGGCGCCGAAAGTATTGCCTGCTGTGCCGAAAAGACTTCCGCTGGAAGCGCCAGTCGAGGCTGGGGTGCCGAAAGAGAACGCCATGGTGTTGGTGATCGAGCTCGAGGATTGAGAGGGAAAAAAGCTGGATGGAGAGAAAGCACCAGGGGAGGCGGGCCTGCAGAATGGATCAAAAGATCCAACAATGAGAGAATGGAGCTCTTGATCAAATTGATCGAGACAGAGAGCTTAAGGGTGGAATGAGAAAAGCAGGACAAGAAAGTCGAGACAATAGACAATAATAATTGGGAAGGAGTTTGGCAAGCACGCGCTGAAATGTTTATGCCTTGAATACAAGGCATCAATAATGCCTGAATAAATTGGCCAGATTACAGAAGTGGTGCCTAAGGCAGATACGTTCTGGACTCACATCGATCGCAGGGCAACAGGTCGTCACTGCACACTACACACGGCCCCATTGCATTTTTGAGTTGTTCATTTCTGTGTGCCCCTTCTTTCATGTTATAACATCCTGAATTTAAGCTGCAATCATGTCGGAGGGGCCGTCCGATTTGTCTAGTTCGCATCTAGAGCCCCCCAGCAGGACTACAGAATTGCAAGATCCAGGAGCTGGCGATTGTACATTACCCTTGGATATACTTGAATATTTGTTTTGAAACTGACATTTTTCTTAGCAGCTTCTGAAAGCGACGAGGAATACTTCTCAGATGCTAATGAAGACAACCCCCAACTCCAGTCACTCCCACAATCCGGTCGCACTTCCCCTGTCCCACGAACACGAGTTGAGAGGGTTGACAGCAGCACCCAACATGGCGAGATTCCGGGCACAGCAGCATTCGGAAAGAGAGAACAGGATGCAGTTCCCGACGAGATCGAGGTTATTCCAGAAGGCTCACACAGCCAGACACGTTCGCCCGCGGGGTCAGAGGACCAAACCTTGAGTCCTGAAGGCTCGCCGATTCCGCGCACAGTGGTCGAGAAGGTGGACCCTGACGAACCTAGCCATGGCGAAGTTCCTGGCACATTGGCACATGAACAGCGTCTCGCCGATGCTGTGCCCGACGTGGTGACCAAGGTTTCAGATTCCGAGGGCAGCCCAACGCCACCGACGTCCCACCCTACACCTCCTGAAGTCGATGGGACTCTAACAGAAATCCCTGAGACACGGCTCGAGCGAGTGGATACAATACCCGCCGATGAAGACCTACCGTCACACCCACAAGCCCATACAGGCTCAGCAAGTGACACATTACCCGATACGGTAGAAACCGTCCCGGATGTCTCAATAGATGATACAGACCTGGAAACAAAAGACCTCTCATTAGAGGATGACATGAACGACGACCACGGATATGAAAAGCAAGAAGCGGGTGATGATTTTGATGAATTTGTAGAAGAGCAGGAAGACATGGGGGATGATGATTTTGGGGATTTCGACGACGGCTTCCAAGAGCCCATTGCAGAGGAAGCTCCCGCAGACGAAACTGCGGCACCTCAGCAAGCCAACGCACCTCCACCTCTTATTGACTTCGACACATTCAAATCTACTTCCGAACTCCTCGATTCCCTCCAAGACACCCTCAACATCCTCTTCCCCGAATCCCAAGACATAAGCTCCCTCACCCCCGTCGAGCCCATCCCAGACTCCGCCGCAATCTTCAGCACCGAGCGATCCCTCTCACTATGGTCCCAGCTCGTGGCACCACCCCCTCTCCAGCCCCAAAACTGGGTGAAATCTCGCATCCGCCGACTATTCCTCGTATCCCTAGGCGTGCCTGTTGATCTGGATGAGATCCTTCCAGCCTCCAAACAGAAAAAGCTTGTTCTACCTTCTATTGATCTTGAAGGGACCGGCGCAAAGAGCCCTGGCGCTCGCTCCACCAGTCAAGTCCGAAAAGAAGAAGGCAACGACAACAACACTACCGAAAAGGAGCAAGCTCCCTCCCGTCAGAAGACTGCTCCTCGCCGCGGCGCACCTCCGGCGCCGGAAATAGATCTCTCGGCGGTCCGCCGGCTGTGTGCCACTACCGATGCTGCACTGAATGGTCTCACGGATCCAGAGTTGAAGCTGCATGTCCAGGAACTAAACCAGGTTGCCCAGCGCGCTAGTTCGGTGTTGGAGTACTGGCTGAAGCGGCGGGATGGGTTGGTTGGCGAAAAAGAGGCTTTCGAGGGCGTCATTGAGAACCTCGTTAGTCATGTTAGGAGAGTCAGAAAGTAGTCTTTTCTTACTCTCGGCACTTGGTGTACTATCTAAATGCCCAATATAATATATTTTGTATAATCTAATATCGATACCAGAGAAACTGATTTATCTGGAATATGTAAGCAAGTTCTTAGTCTCCCTACACTACTGGAGAAGTAAGGAAGGTGGTTGTTAAAACAGGGCTTATTGGGTTTCGACATGGAGCCTTGGGTTCAATATGTGTTTTTTTTTCCTTTTCATTTCAAGTACGATTCAATCCTGTCCGTGATGCCTTGAGATACATAAACAAAGAGAAAAACTAGACGGAACCGTAGAATCCAGTCTCTCCAACGCCGGAAATGACAGATCAATGAGAGAGATAACATGAAGGAAATGCATTTGAAGAGCACGCAATAAGGGGTATCTTTCTTTTCAAATGCACGCAAATATAAACGAACGACATTGGAACGCCGGCGCCGTTAGAAGAGGAGAAGAAGGGAAGAACTTTTGTTGGAAACGCCGATGAACTCATTAGTCCAATTCAATGACTGTATGTTCTTGGGTCCGAACAGCCGGACTGCGACGATCATTAAACACGTCGTTCCTAGGGCGCATGGCAACAGGGCCCAAAGAGTCTTCAGCCTTGCGCTTTGCAGAGAAGGGGTGATCTGGCCCGGGAGAGATCTCGTCGGTGTCGTACTTGAAGGTCCAGGTGCCGTCAACTTTGATTTGGATTGCTCTGATCCCGTCAAGTCGGTTCGTGCGGGTGAGCTCGGCATGGATCTCAGCAAGGAACTGATCAACAACCAGGAACTGTGGGCGTGCATCTCCCTTGCAAATCGGGCAGCGCCAGTTATCGACCATCGGTGTCTGGCCGGATGTGGAATTCCTGGTTCTGATGAAGGTGTCACGGTCAAAGCATTCATGATGATTGCAGTGGAGTGACCGGGCAGGGACATCGAAGATGCGTGCCATAAATGGGTCCACTAGGTCAATTGTGAGGTTATCTGTCACCACCGCCAAATCATCATCATCATCATCATCGGTTATGGGAGAAAGTCGCTTCTTGATTGCCGCACGAGAGTCAGCCGCTGGAACCGACTTGATCAGATTGAGTATCTGATCAAACTCGGCAACCTCCATGGCCTCCACTCCAAAAACGAACTTCGAGGTCTTGCACTCATCCTGTCCTAGGATGATATCGAGTCGTACGTTATTTTCACCTGCATGGAGGTGCTCGGTGATGTCTAGAGGTAAATCCTTTCCGTTGTGAACCTTTCGGCGCACATAGAGCTCTTTACCATTAACAGAAATGTAAAAGACACTGGGCCAGAAAGTAGGCGCGGTGGACCAGGTCTGCTCCGTCACAGTATCCGGATTGCCAGGAAGACGAATGCATCGCAGGCGAATAGTCCGGCACCCGGGCCTAAAGGTCCAAACCGAGAATTGTGTCTCTTTCCCGTGAGCTATGTGTGGGAACTTTTGGAGCTCATCACCCAAAGAGAAATTCCACTTGTAGATCGGCTGGTCAACGTCGACGACGGTTGGGTGTACAATGAAGGCATCGAGATAGGTAAACAAATCAGTCTCAATGTCATTGCCATCTGGACCCTGCTTCACTAGCCTCTTCATGGGATCGCGGAGACCAACCAGATGTAGGCCGAGACGCGTTGGGTTTGGATTCACCATCATGGGTGCCCTGTAGCCAGGTAACGGGAGGAAAGCAGAGTTAGGTAAAGGCTGGAAATGATGTCCATGAGGCGCACGCGTGATCGGCGAAGCAGATGACTGCGCATTCATCGAATTCTGTCGGTTGTGATAATTATTGGGCCTCTGTGGTGGCATCGGGTGCTGGGCCATATGGTTTGTTGTAGTCGGGGTTGTGGATATGGGCGATGGAGCATGGTATGAGTGCACTGACTGTGTAGAGGTGAAAGCACTCGATTGGAGGGAGGTGGTGGAGGAAGGGTTAGTAGGCGCTCCTGAAGTCCCAGGCATCAATATTCGAGGCTGCATTTGCTGGCCATGTGATCCCGGTGTTGATCGGTGCCTCTGAGAAGGTGCTATCTGTCCAAGAGCTGCCTGCATGTGCATTTGCATCTGTGGATTCATCTGTGGATTCATGTGTGGAACCATATGTGAATTCACCGGATACCACGGTCCTTGTCCCTGACCTTGACCCTGAACCTGTCCTTGTGCTTGTCCCTGTGACATGGGGTTGTAATAAAGAGTTTGTGGGGTATTCTGCATCTGTGAGTTTACGCCAAATTGATAGGACCCAGCAGCTGGACCAACAACCTGCCCCTGGGGTGAATTTGAGGAGAAATTCTGCAAAGGTGCGCCAAGTGGACTCAGAGCAGGTGAATTAGTGGCAGATTGACTGACACGACTGATCGAAGATCTGGGATGGGGTGACGGCACTCGTACGGCGGCCTGAGACGTGTTTTGATTCTGAGGCCTGGGAGGAGATGCAGAGTGAGAGGAAGATGGTGTGTGGGATAGATCTTTAGGCAAACGTGGGAATTTGAGATACTCTTGGGTGATCTTCCAGTTATGAGCCTGCTGAGTGGTCTCGGGGAGTCCAAAATCCCTACACTGGCAGAAAACCTTTAAATCGGTCCAAAACAACTCCAGAAGGGGTTTGACATAATCCTCGTCGTGAATGCCCCGTGCAACACACATAAACATCACCGACATCAAAATTGGAGATGGACAAGCAAGAGTGTACCAAAGATAAGACACCAACGGGGGATGGCAGGCCTGCCTCCAGATGTCCAGCCATTTGGTTGCAAGTTGTGATAAGAACACAGGAACACCGGGCAGCACCTGGAGGTACCACTCTGTTTGCATCAACTGTTGTGGAGATGCCGGGAAATGGGCAAACCCAATGATAGCGGCATTATGCATCTTTCTATTGTCTTCCAGAAGATCCATGAGTGATCGCATGCCCGATTCAGTGGCTCTAATTTGACTCAATGTAGTTGGATCAATGCTATATCGGCAGTATAATTGGTGCATCACCAGATAAAAAGCGTCCTTATGACTAATGGCCTGGCGCAATAGGTCAATCCGAGGCCGCATAATATCCCACTCTCTCGAATGAGCAGGAGGTACTGCTCCCTCTGCGGATAGGTCTTCTATCAAGGCATCCAACTGAGCAGACCATTGTTCCCATGTCTCATTGGGGATCAATTTCCATACTCCCCAATTCTGCTGACTCTGCTGATTCTGCTGCGGACTAGGTCGTGGGGCTGAGACTGTCTGTTCTTGTATTCTAGCGCCCTTTTGTGTTCCTGTGACCAAGGGCGAATTCGTGGACCGGTTGGGTTGCATTAGAGGGGACTGGGTCGCGCGTTGTGACGTGGCATGCCCGCTGAGAGGAGCCTGTTGGACCGCCATACGCTCATCATTGCCGCGCTGTGCTGTCAGTTGTGTAGAGATGGGGGGCAACGTGGAGAGTCTATTTGAAACTGTCGCATCGGCGCTCGCAGGACTTGGGTGAGAATTTGTACTGAGCACAGGTGAGGGAAGCGCGGTCGCTCGCGTATCGGGTTTTTTTGCCGTATGAACAGGACCACGCGAGGGAGGTTGAGTAAGGGTCTCGCCAGGCGTGACGGGGGACATTAAGACAGGTTCACGGGAAGTGGAGTTGGGAGGCACTTCAAGGTCAACCTCAACGCGAGGATTTCGCGTAGCCGATTTCTCCGGAGCATCAGTCTGCGGGCCCATCCAGTTTCTCCGCACGCCGCCTAAAAACAGACTGGCAGTAGTATTGGACTCTTCGATATGATCAGCACTAGTCTGCGATCGTGATTTAGGTGATGCCATGACGATCGAAGAAGTGTCGAAACATCAGGGTGATCCATGGATTTTGTCAAGTTCTTTTAACAAAGAGGCGCTTACAACAACATTTGAACAAAGCATCCTACGTAGGTAGACTTTTAGCGCTTAGATACCATAATAGGAATGGTCCCGTGCAAAGTGAAAGCACAATAGACGCAGGTACTGCACATATAGTTTACGTTAATTACCATAACATTGAAGTTATCCTAGATATGTAATCATAGATCCCCTCCAGGGCTAATTAAGATAATTTTAAAAAAAACCAATTCAATATAAACATATAAATATCTAAATAAATAAATATGTAAATATGTAGATCGGGTACATAGACTTGGGCAAGAATGACCGGGTTCATCTGCCTAGTAAGTGTGTACAGTGGTGTTCCATGAGTATTTGACCTTGGGTACTTCGGCCGTGGGCCCACTTTGTAGGCCCACTTTTAATATTGCCAGACAGAAACCTCGAAAATTCAATCCAATTTAATAGCTAGTATGCCAACCTTCATATTTAATAACATCAGCAACTCTATGAGGCATAGTATCAGATAGATGCTTAAACATCTCAATATCTAGCCCCTCCCAAGCTTCCTGGGCAGCGTCGACTAGTAGATCAAGCGTAGTTTCGTTATTTGGGAGCTGTATTAGCTCAGGGTGTCGCTTCAGTATTTCGGCCTTTAGGAGCGCCCATAGGTTCTCAATTGGATTCAAATCGGGCGAATAGGGAGGCCACTCCATAATATCACATCCAAGCTCATTAAGAGTCCCCTGAATGATATAGGCAGTGTGTACCGGTGCGTTATCTTGTTGAAAAATAGCATCTTGATCAATACTATTAAGAAGTGTTGGAAGAACACGCCGGTAAAGCTCTTCAATAGTCCGAGATGAAACACCACCGCGGCGAGACTGAGGATCACCAAATAATGGAATTAAACCAGAGCGTCGCGGAAGACCAGAAAAGGCAGCCCAAAACATCTGTTTAATCTGTTTTCCACGGGTTGGTATCATTTGGACTTGATGGCCCTCTTCTTCGTGCTCCCAAAGCTGGTCCTTTGGACGGGTAAATGTCCATTCTCGACGCTGACCGATACCACGTTCAATAGTACACTCATCAGACCAATACACACGGGCCCAATCCTCAGAAGTGAAGTGCTCATATCTTCGCGCCCAAGTAAGGCGTTTTTCAGCAGATAGAGGTGTTAAAGTAGGCCGTTGCATTTTCCGCCACTTTCGAAGGCCCATTTCATGGGTCAGCCGCCAAATTGAGGTACGTTTAACCTTATAATCGACCTCTGCGAGTAGGTCTGCGACTAAGATTGACGGGTTTTGTTGTATAGTCTCATATATATGGTCACGGTCGTCTTCAGTAAGCTTCCTTGGCCCCCTGAGCGTGCTAAAGACTGTTGCTTTTGACGCTTTGACTCTTGAGTAAGAGTATACTGAATAGTTGAGCGTGGAATATCTGGAAATCGCTTCTTTTTTATAGTTGTTGCACCCCAACCATTGGTACTATGCAGTTCACAGATCTTAGCTCTAGTAAGACAGTCAAGCTCTGGGCCTCTTTTCCCACGTATAGGAGGCATGTTTTAGTATATAGAATAAGAAAACAGTGCGAAAATCTCTTCAAAACGCGTTAATATACAGCGCATATGCTAGCGTGTTTAGGACGCGCGAGATTTAATATACTAATACAGTAGGCGGTCTAGAATGGCGGTCAGATCCTAAGGTGGGACCCGAAGTACCCAAGGTCAAATACTCATGGAACACCACTGTACTTCGAATCCATGTACTACAAAGTATGTACGAAGTACGAAAACGGAATACGGAATTCAAGGTATGTTGCTAATTACCATTCAAGCTAGTAATTATAATTGTAATTATAGTAATGGTCATAATTATAATAATCACATTATATCCATGGATGTAATAATAATAATACCCTCTGACCGTTGTGCCACCCCTCAGCTCAACACTCTCTCTCTCAACCACGGAAAGTGTCAACCTGAGAAGTCCAGACTCTTCTTACAATTTGCACACGTCACTTTTTTTGCCTTTGCTTTGCAAATTTGCAAATTTGCAATTTTTCGTATATTTTGGTACTTGGTTCTATTGACTATATTCGTTTGGATTTGTGTGTCTGTGTCTCTGCCCAAATTCCACATATCAAGATTTCTTGAACATCCTTTGCTTCAATCTGGTATGGTATATATCATGTTTGCACAGATATAATCTTCCAAGAAAAAAGAAAAAAGAAAAAGAAAAAAAAGAAGAATACCAAGCTACCTACCTCCCGAGGTCGGGATCCTTCGAGGTTCGTGCTCCCGAGCCCCGCGAGTTGTTTAACCTAATCCTCTCTCTAATCTCTCGGATCTCCCTTTAGATTTCTCACATTCTCTCCCCTTTTTGACCTTCTGCGAAATCACATTACTTCGGTCCCAGAGGGATACGCGATTGCAATCTGCAATTTGCACTCCTCCCCGTCAAAGGGTGCCATGTCTTGCGTTTTCTCTTAACTAGAAACACGGAATATTGAGAGATGGTTACCATGGGCCCACCACAGGGTGTTCGTCCCGGCGACATTCTAGATGTTCTTCGTAAGTGACGTCGTGTGCGACACCTCGATTTCTGTCACTCCCATTTCTCAGGATGCGCCCCGACTTCTAACACTCCAAAACTAGACGAATTTGGCGGGCGCGGAGAAGATGAACTGATCATGCTACCCCGCGACAAGATTGAGTTGATCGAGTTGGATGAAGGATTTGGAGATGCCTGGTACTACGGCAAGAACCTTCGGACGGGACAAACTGGTCTCTTCCCTGCGAGTATGCGCGACCCCCTCCCCAGGATCCCCTCACCACAACCCCCCGTCTATTTCCCCCCCAAGCTAATATTCGTGCGCAACAGACTTTACCAACGGCTCCCCAAGAAAGACACTCGCCGAGTCGCCAGTACTTGTAGAGTCGCCAATACAATTGGAACCCTCCGCACCCACGGATTCATCATTCGCATCAGTCGGGAGTGGGCAGAGCACCCCTCAAGCATCGCGCCACGTTAGCTCCGATATGCAGTCACCACAAATTGGTTCTCCCACACAGCATCGATCCGCCTCGTCTCCGCTGCCTCGCCCAAGCCTGGCGGCCGATATCCAGCAAGCCTTCCGCGGTTCCATGGATGATCACATGAATGGCGAAGACAGTCCGGTCATGAATGAGACGTTGAGTGTCATTGACGAGCACATTACAGATATGAACACCCCACGTCACAGCGTGTCAACCCAAGAACCTAGGACGATCAATGATTCCGGCAGCGAGTACAGCAGCCATATTGGCCACAGGGCTTCTTATATCAATGGACATGAAACCGACGACGAGGAGCAGAATCATCCAACCGAGCAAGAGATACGAAAATGGAATCAAACACAAACTTCAAGATGCTTGCGCGGACTCGGCATTGATTCCAAACACTGTGACATCTTTGAGGAACAAGAGATCACCGGTGATGTGCTTCTTGATATGGATCAAGATTTTATCTTTATGAAGGAATTTGATTTTGGAGTCATGGGCAAACGGCTTAAGACCTGGCACAAGATCAAGGCATTCCAAGAAGAGACCAAGGGCTTCAGTCAACAGCACGCCCCGAGAGAATCCATCTCATCCAGCTTCTCAGGACCTTCCGATGAACGAGCATTCTCTCGCGCTGGAAACACCGGCCCACTTCTTCCTCGGATCCCGACCTTGTCAGAAAAGACCGGGACTGGTTATCCACGAGCATCTGCGCCGGTGCAACACCCCCGACTGGCCAGCAACAACAGCTCGCCCATGACACCGCATACCCCTCCGTACAGCCACGATTCACCGAGGAGAATTTCTGCGGCATCACTCCGTGATCTCAACCAGGCGCGTCGTCATTCTTCCATTGACGCCACCCAACGCGGCATGTCTGATTCGGTTTTCGCTGGTCACCATCAAAAGAAACCATCGTTCGACCGGTCCTGGACTCTGAATTCCGGCCCCCAACCGATGCCGGTTCGCCCAGGAACCTCGGCGGGTACTAGTCCGGGTGGCTTCCAGAGCGGACCGCTAACCGCTGAGTCTGATTCGTACGCCAACTCTTATACCAGCACCCCGGATCAGATTGAGGACCTAGATCGGGGTTATTTCTCGGGAACCGAGATTGACTCGCGGCGAAGCCGTCGGGTTCTTCAGAAACGGGGGTCCGCCGGAGTCGGCTTAAACAATCACTCGCGAAAGTCAAGCTATGCGGAAGAGCCTTATAAAGCGATATCCCCGGTGAAGCGCCACACTCGCATTGGCAGTATGGACTCGATCCGTGATGCAGCAAAGGCAAAGCATGTCTCCACCGCAGCGCAGGCCTATCACGGTACGCCACCAAAGAGTCGGCTACGGAGCTTGAGCACGCGCGTCTCAACGGATAGGAGTGGGAATTCCCAATCGTCGACCACCGAGAGCAAAACCAGTAACGGTGGTGGATTCTTCGCCAACTTCTCTCGTGTCGGCGGCAAAGGTGATTCGGAAGGCACCTCTTCTCGCGCTTCGCCGTTGCAATTCCAGCCGCTGAAGAATGCTGGGCCCAAGTTCCGCCGGGCCATGGGTCTTCGTGCCATATCCGACGTTGCTGGAAAGAAGATTGACACCTCTGTGCCGCCTGAGTCACCACGGGAATCCGACCCCACCTCTGCTCGCACCGGGTCCACAACTCCATCGGCGACGTCCAAGAGCTCGGAACGGCATAGTACAGATGGGTCTGGTAAAGCTGCCACTGACGGACCCGGATTCGTAGTCCGTCCTCGGACCGTCAAGTCCAAGAAGGAGACTAGTGCCTATACTCGAGGTCTTGAAAAGAAGTCACCACAGGAGCAGATGGATGGCTGTGATTATAGTGGATGGATGAAAAAGAGATCCTCCAACTTGATGACCACCTGGAAGCCCCGTTTGTTCGTCCTGCGCGGTCGTCGTCTCTCATATTACT